GCAAACACTGCACTAATGGACTTACACAACTGTAATTAAAATAAGTGTATCATTTTGCTCTCGTCTCCAGCTCAAAATCTTTTTTGTACTGGCCTGAGCTTATTTCATGTTGCTTTTGTGCAAGCGTGAAGAGGCAGGCAGTTGAAATTTTTTGTGGGAAGATATCATTTTAATACTCAATTTTTCGTTTTAAGACTTAAACTGAAGAGATACATTTTTAACAGTTTTTTAAAGCTTTATTTCAGTGAGAACGCAGCACTGTGTGTTAGAAGAATTTTTGGTGTTAAATAAGCCAAACTGTTATGAATACTTTCTAATTCTTGCACGACATCATGCTACACTCTGAATTCATTTTTCATTATTTTCTTGACAATTGCGAAGGTGACTTCGGTGCTGTCGCGCTGTATAAAATAAATTTTTAAAAAGATAGCAGTATTTTTTGTATATGTATTAATAATTGGAACTGACAGATTAAGCTAAAACTGTGTAAGTGTTCCTAGAGTTTTAGACAAAAGCATTATTTTGCTCAGCAATCTCGCTTAACGAGACTGAAAAATATTTAAAATTTTTATGCTTTTTTCACTGTTCAGCTCTATTCAATTATATTCTACCAAAAAGCAGAAATAAGTATAGAAAAATTTTTTTATCAGAATTTCTTTTCTGCAGTTTAAAATATTCATTTTTTGCTAATTTCTTAGTGCTCAGCAAAATTATAAAATTTTTTAGTATTAGTTTTATTTCTGTCACAATTTTTTCACTTGGCTCTTTACATTTAACTAGTTTTCAATTTCTTTTAGAATTAAAAAGTTCGGTTATAAGAGCTATAAACCTTTTCTATTCACACTTGAAAAAGAAAGTTTAAAAGAGAGGTATGAAGAAAAGATGAATAAATTACAGAAAATTTAGAAATTTTGCAAAAAAAAATTTGGGAAATTTTTAAAATAGCACAAAGGCCTCAGTTTTTACTTGAAAGAAAAAATTTAAAGTTTATTTTCAATACGACTAACATCTCGTAAAGCAAATTTTAGCATAA